TTTTTCTCTCTAAAAAAAAAATTCCTTCTTCCGTAGTGATACTGCCTTGGAAACCCAAGGAGGGGTCGCTGTGAGTCAGGGCCGACTCGATGGCAAATAACAACAACAACAACAACAACAAAAGTGGCCTATCTTACTGGAATGGCCAATTTTGAAGAGTTTTAGTACCTAAACAATTCCAAAGAGTATGAATCTTTAAAATGCTTTTTGGTGTGTGACTGAGGTTTTTCAGGGTGAATTACCTCAGAGGGCCTCCTGGTAATGTGTCATCTCCCGATGGACTGAAGTTGGGGAATATTTCTGCAAGAGTGTCACATCTCCATGTAACTCCTGCACATTAAAATGTGGTGTTATAGCCAATATGTACTATAGGATGACTCAGTGCTTTCAAGCAAAATAGTTAGATATAATCAGAGAAATTTCATCATAAATTCTAGGTTCATCTTAAAATGTTTCTTTTTTCAAAGGGAACAAAGATAACATAGTTAAAGCAGTACTACTGAAACCTGAATTTGGACCAACAGTCCCACACACATAAACTAGGAGACTGGACCACTATCGAGAGATGAATTGAGTGAAAGAAAATGACAACTGTTTACGTTTTTGGCAACATTTAAAACAGGGCCCTTCTCCTTATGTACAACAACTGTTTTAACAGCTGCTTTTTCATTTCTTTTTTTCCCCTCTTCTCCTTAAAATTCTTCTATCAGGGTTTTGAGTCATGATGCAAGAATCTGGGACTGAGACAAAAAATAATGGTTCAGCCATTCAGAATGGGTCGAGCAGCGGCAACCACTTACTAGAGTGCAGCAGTCTTCGGGAGGGGCGGTCCAACGGGGAGACGCCGGCCGTGGATGTGGGGCCAGCAGATCTCGCCCACATCCAGCAGCAGCAGCAGCAGGTACTGTGCTTTGGAGTGAGGGGTATGGAGGGTGGTGGGTGAACATGCGATCCTTGTAACACTTAACTGCTGTGTTTTATGCTTACCTGTTTGACTATAAGCAATATCTTTTAACCCACCTAAGCTTTGAGTAAGAAACTCTGGTGGCACAGCAGTTAAACACTCGGCTGCTAACTTAAGTGTTGGTGGTTCAAACCTATCCAGCAGTTTTGTGGGAGCAAGACTTCACAGTCTGTCTGTAAAGATTACAGCCTAGGAAACCCTATGGGGCAGTTCTACTCTGCTATATAGGGTCTCTATGAATTGAAACTGACTTGACGACACTTAATGAGAACAACAGTGGCTGGCTTAAGAGACGATATTCAAGCCCTCACGTTCTGTGCAGAAGGCGGCAAAGACCCCTTATGTGTGTGTGTGTGTGTGTGTGGTGGGGGGTAAGAGGGAGCAGGCGGTGGCTAGAAACACAGGTGGGAGCAAGATTTGAGTGGACCCCGGCCACCTCTAGCCCCCGACATGTCAGCCAAATGTTTTAACTATTTTGAAGAAAATTAATATTTGGAGAAGTGGTTCCCCAGTGCTTTTATTTAAAAAAAAAAAAAAAAAGCTTAAGTCTTATGGAGAAGGAAACAAAATAAAGGATTAAAAAAAAAAAAAAAAGAATAAGTGAATAAGGAGAGTACTTAACCACTGGACCACAAGAGCTCCTCGTTGTCAGCAGGTACATCTAGTGACTGGTCAAGTATTGCCCCATGGTAAAAGTGACCCAGGAAATAGTGTTGCGATGCCAAAGTGTTGTGGAAATTCAAAGAGATAAATACAGTATTTTCTCAAACACAGGCTTTGTTTTACCAACCTCTTTTGGAATCCTGAAATAACTAGTTGTGTTAATGATAACGTGTGGTTTTTGTTTCATTTTCATCCTCGGTTCATTATTCAATACATAGTTTTGGTGTTATTTGGAAAACAATGGTGAAAAAGAATGATGCATCTTTGGGGCTTTTTGAAAGATTCAGACATTTTCAAGGGAGAGCGAAAAAGAAAACAAACCTTTTGTCAAGCAAGCGTATTGGACTCAGTATCATAGAAGCTGAGAGAATCCCTTTTCATATTGAGGATGGAGCCTTTGATTGACTCTAACGTATGTTTTGATTTTTCCTTACTAAGAATTTTTAAAAGTACAGTGAAATCTGTGAGAGCTGCGACTCAGTGGGACTGCCTTATTTTTCCAGGTCTTACAAGTTTTCTACCTTTGACAGGTTGTAGTCTTACCACTTTTCTATCTCCGTTTCAGTGAAAAATATTTGACTTTTTCTTCTCTGACGGGTTTCAGCCTTACATACGTTCCAGCTTCACAGCCTGGACTGTGTAAGGGATCATTAGATTGTTAGTGCATTAGAAGTTGGTGGACCCTGCATGAGACTATGGAATCTGTAGGAAAACAGAAAGAAGGGGAAATGAATAAACAGACAAGCCAAGGTTTTAATTCAGAGAGCTTCCTTTAAGTGTCTGGGTCTCTTTTTCATTGTCAGTCCAAACCCATTTGTTCCCGGTGTCTCAGGCATCAGCTGAAATTTAGGTTGTGTATTGTTGGAAAACTTGGTATTTTTAGTTCAGTGCAAATAGTGGCAATTCTAACCAGTAAGGTCGTTATTAAAACCCAGCAATAATTGGAAGAAGGTTATTTATGTATTCCTGCTAGTATATGTTGAAGTGCTGTTTATGGCTGTATTGAGAATAAATAGTTGATATTTATTGCCCTTACCAGGCAGAGGCCAAAATCTACCATTTTCATTAAAGGGCAGTTGAGGTGCAGCGATTGACTATAGGGTATGAAGCTCATGTAATTATAACTTTAAAAAAAAAAAAAAACCTCATTGCCATCGAGTTGATTCCAACTCATAGTGACCCCCTTTGAGCATTTGAGGTAGTAAATCTTTATGGAAGTAGATTGCCCAGTCTTCCTTCCGTGGAGTAGCTGGTTAGTTTGAACTGCCAGCTTTCTGGTTAGCAGTCAAATGCCTTAGGTACTATGCCACCAGAGCTCCTTAATTATAGCTTGTTGTTGTTGTTATGTGCCATGGAGTCAGACCTGACTCATAGCGACCCCTCCTTGGGTTTCTGAGCGGTATCACTACGGAGGTAGATTGCCCAACTTTCCTTCTGAAGAGTGGCTGGTGGGTTTGAACTGCCTGCCTTCTGGTTAGCAGGCAAATGCCTTAGGTACTATACTACTAAGTAAATGGGAAATTAACTTATTCTGAATTTTATATAGAGAACTAAAAATCATTCAACTTTTAAAATAGGAAGCCAAGCAAAAACTTTGGCTTCCACATGCAGCAACAACATGGTAGCAGTATAAAAGAAAGTTAAAAATGTATTTTAACAGCATCTTCCTTAAAAAATATCCATGGCAAAATTAGTCTTCCCTTTCTACCTTGGCTGTGATCACTTTGAAAATTTTGCTGATACGGGTTATTGATATTGGTCAAGAAACTAATTTTGATTGTGCTTTGAAATTCTTTTTAATATTTTTATAACAATTTTATTTCTATTCGCCACTGATATGTTTTGGGAAAAAAGAAAGCAGTTGGGTCTCTAATTGTGACTAAAACCCCACTTATTGTGGTTGGCAGGCTTTGTAGGCCTTTTAAAATAAAATATTGACAGCTGTTTGAGTCCCCATAATATATGATGAGGCTCTTAACAGGTTGTTGGGGGAAAGAAAATCTATAAATGAAATAAGACAGACTACAGGTTTGAAAAATATTAAAGAGAATAAAGTCATCAGAGTTTTCTTCTGGAAAACTACTACAGTTAAACAGTTTAAAGAAATGTGAGAGTAAACGTGATGGACTTTGGTTGTTTTCGTCATTTTTATACTACAGGTTTTTACTTGAAGTGAGAATACCAGCAGTGAGAAAATCACAGCCATGCTGAATTCATTACTGCGGTAGTCACACAAAACCACGGATAAAATTTCAATAACTGCAGGCCACAGTTGAGTAAACAGTTGCACTGAAATTTAATTCCTGTTGACTTTTCCCCCATTCCTCGCCAGGGGCACATTCTGATTCCGTTGTACAAAGACAACAGGGGTTACAGCTTTGATTAATGTAGGACGGTGGAAGAGAATTAGAACTGTAAAATATGTTAGAAGTCCATGCAACACAAAGATCTGGCTTAAAAGGACTTGGTATAAAAATGAGTTAATTACACCGTGTGTTGAACCGAATGTTACAGGATTTTCCAGTGGCACCAGTACCATTGTTGATGATATAAGGAGCATTTTTTCCTAGTGCCAGGATTTAAAATAAATAAATGCAAACCCTCCCACATTTATTCCATATTACCAAAGATAATTACAAATGGTAGCAAGCACCCTTTCACAGTGGAGAGCTCTAAGATTCACTGTGGAGTAAGTTTCATGCTGAGTTTGTTCTATACATTGGCTGAATTGGATCCAAACAGAATTATTAGAGGAAAGGAAAAAAAGAAATAAAAAGTTATTGGCAACTTTAGAGAAATAGACTCTGGGTTTTCCATCTTCTCTGGAAAAATCAGATGGTCTGGTAATCCTGGGCCCATTTACATGAGAGCAGTAATTATTACCCTAGAGGATGGCTTCAGGCCTAAGGCAGTCGCCTGCCAAGCTCAAGGCTGGCGGTTCAAATCCACCAGCCACTCCCTGCAGCGTAGACCTGGCCGACCTGGCCATCTCTTTGGGAGCTCTGGTAGCATAGTGCCTAAGGCACTTGACTGCTAACCAGAAGGCTGGCGGTTCAAACCCACTAGCCACTCCTCGGAAGGAAGGTTGGGCAATCTACTTCCTTAGTGATACTGCCTCGGAAACCCAAGGAGGGGTCACTATGAGTCGGGTCCGACTCAGTGGCACATAACAACAACAACAATAATTATTTGGAGATAACTTGTTGCTTAAGACACGGAACCTGCAGCCTCCACTTGGCCTTAGTTCCTACCCAGTCAGCAGGGCTCATGTAAACTCTCTAGGCAGTGGACTGATGATTCTGGTCTGGAAGATGCCATCATCGCTTGGAAGCCATCAACCAAGGAGAGGTGCTGCCATTAGCTGGAGAACCCTACCAGTACACTCACACAGGGTCGTCCTTCCTCAAAACTAAATGTATTATCTCTGTAATGTTTCACCTCTATTTATATCTGAGCCATGAAACTATTATAACAATAGTTTCCTAATACTATAATTTGATAGAGTTTCTGAACATGTTCTTTTTAGTCCTTGAGTAATTCTTTCCCCCATACCATAACTGCTTTTTATTTCCTTTTATGCCTGCCCCGTTTTTAGATCTGTAGACGTTCTCTATTGGATATGCAGTACTCCATTACGAGACTCAGCAACAAATACTATTACCAATTATGAAAGTTTTTTTCCCTTAAAGAAAGGATCTTAAAATGTCCAGAGCAATTTCATAAACTGTGCGGATTAATGCATTTTAAAAGTCTTGAATTTCAGAAAGCAGAATTTTATTTCCATATTGCTGCAAATGAGAGCTTTTTCAGATAAGCATATTACATAGAGCATAATGTTTAGAAGTTTCTCCATATACAGCATATGCTGTCAGGTCAATTAACAGAATGCATACTGGAAAATGTTTATTCAATAAAAATGAATAGCTGTTAAATAAAGGAGCTATTTCTTAACAACATTCCATTTAATGATAGTGTGTTTTTTTTTTTTGTTGTTGTTGTTGTTGTTGGGTTTTTTTTTGTTCCACCTGGCAGTTTTATTGTCTGCAAATCAGGGTAGATAGAGCTTTGGTTGCTGTGGTTTTGAGGTATGGCTGTTGTTTTATAGGAGAAGGGTAGTTTCGAGGAATTCTGTGAGAAAGATAAAAAACAAATAAGCTATATTTGGAATTTGAATATATATTATTTTGAAAGTGTGGAGAAGTGAAGTGTTTACTTTACATAACTTGTTTGACATTTGGTTTGAGATGTCTGAACTTTTGGTCCAGAAGAGAGTG